GTCATTTTTACTGCAGCAGGTTCTATACATTGTACAGATGTGCCATTTTACATGCAGTTTAAGGGGATCCCCCAGGAATTATATTTAAAGGAATTTTTCATTTGTATTGTTTCACTTTAAGTGATGTTAAAAGCTCTGCTCCTTTAAAAACGGTGTTTAGTAAAAGTTTTTTTTCATTGATACATGTCCCCCTGGGCAGCACCCAAATCCCCATACCATTTTTTATGGCCAATAAATTGCATCCAAGTCTTCAAAATGGGGTCAGTTGATTTTCAAAGTTCTACCCCCATACACTTGCATTGAATTTGAACCGAACGGGGGGGGAAGTTCGGCCCATCACTATTCACTAGAAGGCCCTGCGTTGCAACCCACCATGGCTGTGAATGTTCATCTGTTAAACATTAGGGGAATGTTCACGATGACAGCCATGTACTACTGTGAAGATGGGTAAGTGGATGTCTCCCAAATCTTATTTCCCACATTAGTCTCCTATCAGTTAAGATATGGGGAACGCTTTGGTTGAAATGTTGGGCTGTAGAGCAGGCATGTAAGAAGTGTTTACTGCACATACCCTTTAAAGGGACAATATCTCTTTGGAGCTGCCTTGGACACTTTCTCCTCTTGGTAATTGGGGTAAGGGTACTCATCTACCACAGCAGAATCAGCTGGCCTCAAACTGGGAAAAATCAGGTGCCCCTCCCCCTAAGGCCAAGAAGATTTCCTCTTGTTACTCACAAACTTCAACCTATAAGGCCAAACCGAAACAAGGAGCCTAGTTTTACTGCAAACACTAAGCTCCCAAATCCCCTAAACCAGCAGTCAAGTCCGCATCATCATGAAGGGGTGCTCCCAGTTTCCAAAAGTAGGTTGACATCTGTTAGCCTTGTCCTCCTTGTTTGATGTTTTTAAATATTCCTGTGTCACCATTCAGATTAGCAGACCTCCAAAGTCAAAAGGCATATGCCCCTTCTTGGAACACAAGACCCTGAATTATTCGAGACAGAAAAACGTCAAACTCTTTTTCCAGCCTCAGACTCCTCATGCCAAGTCTTGACCGACTGTTCACTTCTGCATACAGGTCCTAGGGCTTTTGGTAGCCTCTTTCGAGGCAGTCCCATTTGCCCAGTTTCACTCCAGGCCCCTGCAGCTCAACTTCTTGGCAGTGAGGGAAAAATCAGTTCAATCCTTGGAAAAAACAATTTGCCTGACACCAAGGACCTGGTTGTCTTTGGACTGGTGATTCAGCTCTGTTGTAGAGGAAATCCTTGTTTCTGATAATTTGGCAGATTATCACAATGGAAGCCAGCTTGACAGGCTGGGGAGGGGTCCCAGACACCTTGTTGGTGCAGGGGGCTTGGAGGCTGGAGGAATCCCAGCTCCCAATCTGGAGCTTTGAGTGATTTGGTTGTCCCTACAACACTGGACATTTCGACTGAAGGGTCTTCTGATATGGATCCAATTGGACAATGCCATGGCAGTGGTGTATATCAACCACCAGGGAGAAACAAGAAGTCTTGCAGCGGCAAGAAAAGTGCAAACGATATTGTCATGAGCAAAACTTCACATTCCAGCCTTGTCTGGCATTTAAATTCTAAGAGTGAACAATTGGTAGGCAGACTACCTTAGCCAGCAGCGCCTGGACCGGAGGAAATTGTCTGTACACCTGGACGTGTTCCAAAACCTGTGTCACAGATTGAGGACACTGCATGTGAGCCTCTTGGCCTCCAGCTTCATCAACAAGCTAAGCAGGTTTGTCTCTAGGTGCATAGATCCTCTGGTTGAAGCAGTGGATGCTCTGGTGGCTCCATGGGATCAGTACAACCTGATCTTCACCTTTCTTACCTTTAAAACTTCCTTGTTTGCTCTGCAGGATCGAGATGGAGGGTGTTCTTGTGATACTCTGTGCTCCAAACTGGCCCAGGCAGATGTGTTACTTCCATCTGATAAAACTCCTGGAAGACACTCTGAGGGCTCTTCCAGATTAAAGAAGTTTTATTACCAAGTTATTTTCATGCCAGAACAAATCCTGATTTCTTTTCCATTAAAGCTTGGATCAACAGATCTTCAAGGCTGCCACCTGCCTGGTCTTCTGTTCACACATTGTCTAAGTTTTACCAGCCGGGGTGATATCTGATTTGGGTGTGATATCTGATTAGCTAGCTTTGGGTGTATGGTCCTTTAGGCAGCTCCTTGAGCTGCAGTCAGTGTTTGTTTTTTCTGTTATTATAGTTGGGTCCTGTTAGCATTTTATTGCTATATTGTCCACCAGTTGGGCAACTTTTGGACATCACAATTGCCACTTTACTCTGTGACCCTCAATGAACAAGATAAATATTTTTCTATTAAATTCATTTCAGGTGTCATTCAGGTCTCATTCCTCTGTGTTTCTGATCATACTCTCAGCACTGCTTGTTAGAAAACAAAGGCATTCTGAGAGTGTGAGGGATTATACCAGACTGGTCCTAATTTTTTTGTTTGCCAGTGTTCAAAATCTCTGTAGGCGGTAGTGTAACCCAACTGTCTCTTTTAGAGAATGGAAGAGTGGTAGGGTGAGTAGTTTAGGAAAAGAAAACTGGGCAGCGTTGATACCACTAAGTCCACAAAAATGCTGTCAGCCCACATGATTTAGGAGTTGAGTGCATTTCTGGCAGCTCAACAGGTATTGTTCGGTACATGTAGGGATAAAACATGGGGTAATGTGCATGCATTGCATAGATGTACTGTATATGTTTTTTTTATGTTTCTCTCACACACTGTAAATGTCCTTCTTTTTTGATAGACCATTTTCTTTATAAAATCCTTGCAATAACCTATAAATATCTTTGTAAATAATTAAAACATTCTGCTGTTTTAGAATGAAGACGACAATGAACATCTCACTGAACAAAGACCCGATAACACAACACAATTAGTGAAACAAGAGAATAAAGGTGACGGTATGCAAATCAGCGATAGTGACATTGCTCAAGCTGTCCCTAATATGAATGGTAAACTCATCCTGGATACTGTGTCTGAGTGTGAAGAAGTTGATCCCGAAGATGAGGAAGCAAAACGATATATTGCAGAAAAGATAGAAGAAGCAAACAAGAAATTAGAAATGGAAACCGTCAATGAAAATCGACACAGGAAACTCAAATTTAAGGACAATTTGGTTGATCTGGAAGTTCCACCACTAGAGTTTCCAGACAGCGATAGAACTGAAAGTATCAGTGAAGAGGATGTGGTAGACAGCATAACAAAATTGCATCTTGATGATGGTCCAGCCAAAGAACAGTCGAATCCTGAGGTAAATGAAAAGGCTGGAGAAGAACCAAAAGATGGGAAAGTTTTGGTTGAGAAAGATGGAAAATTTGAGCTTGTCAGTTTAAATGACATTGAAAACCAGTGTTCTCTACCACCTATTAACAATAAGGAGCTGTCAAAATCTCCATCGCCATCAATGGAGTCTAATAGATTTGGTGCATTGCATTACGGGGACAATTACAAATTAGATTACAAGAAAACTTCCACTGTTGGTAATGTAAATCATTTTGCTCCTCAACCACCTGGGGAACCTAAAGTCCGACCTAGCTCTGCTACTCATTCATTGAAGTCTATACACAAAGTAAAGCCATCACGTAGAGTCCAGTCTGCAAGTGTATCAACTAGAAACACAACATTCAGCCTTTCCCCTGAGCAAAAGGAGCTACAGAAAAGGATTCAAGAAAGGCAAGAAAGACTAAAGAGAGAGGTAAAATATGCATGTAATCATACTAACATTTCAAGCCAAACTAAAAAATTAAATAGTGCATGCATGCATACTTGCAAAACTATGTGCCTTGTGGCTTTCTCAATAGGTTTCCCAGCTGCTGTGCAGGCAGAGCAACAGGACCTAGACTTTTCTAGAACCTTTTGGCTTGACTGCTGGCTGCACAACTCAGAGGTCATAGGCTTTCCACACCTCCTTCTTAGTAATACTCCTACATTGACATCACTATGAGAAAATAATGGCTTATCCCAGTCCCACCCTGTGTTCTACCTTCTTATTTCATTCACAGTTGAAATGAGTAAAACGAATTTAAGCTGTAGAGGAGATGAATATGGTGGGCACATAACCACCCTATTATGTGCCCATTTCCTGCCTGGGAATCAAAGTGGTTTCAACTAGACATGTGCATTTGGATTCGGAAGAACCTGCAAAGTAAAAAAATTCAGTTGATTCGGCGGTTCGTCCGAATCCGAAATAATGAATTTTTTATATGCCCGAATATACTAAAACGATATTCGGGCATATAAAAATTAATTATCAGAACGTGTGGCGGCCATATTGGCCACCGGTGCGTTCTGCGCATGCCCGCCGCCGTCTTGGAGGCAGGGTCCATAACGTCACATGACGCTACATCATGGGTGACGTTATTCACAGGATGAGCGGCGGGCAAATCTACCGCCAGCGTGTTCGCCGCCATTTTGGAGTATATCTTGGTATATTCAGGTGCCGCCATCTTGGTGTATACCAAGATATACTCAGAATAGCAGCACGAATGACGAAACGAATGAAAATGTTTTTCAACATTTTTTTTTTGCCATGCACATGTCTAGTTTCAACAGATAACTTCCTATGAAAGAATGATTAGATCACTTCTCAGGAGGTAGCACCCCCTTTATCAATTCTCACTAATCTCCGGAGAGGTGATGGAACACACTCTGCCAGTTAGCATATGAATAACATAAAATGTAAATAAAGTAAAAAGATAACAGATTTGCATGTATGTGCATTTTAAGCTTGCACTGCATATGTCACACGTCGGCCCTATATACCAACAGCTGAGCAATCCTGTAATTGCTGATCGCTCAGCTCTAGGCCTTCTCCCTGCAAATGATGGTGAATATCAGTCACGTGTCACTGCAGGGATTCCTCCCACCCCACTCTGTTCCCCCAGCGTTCATTGGGACACACAGGGGAGTGGGTGGGCACAGCTAGCTCTGGCTCTAGAGAGGCAGAGTCAATCAGACAGCCGATTGGATCCTGACAATATTTTCGGGATCCTTCATGGCTGAAGTGTGGTTCCACTCTATATGCTGGCTTTGGGTCATAGAAGTACAATAGTAAATGTAATCCTGTGATCCAAAAGAGATGAAGCCAAAAAACGTTTGACTTTGCTTCTGTTTTAAGGTCATTGTTTTTTTTAAATGCCACACAGGAAATTCAGACGGTAGCTGTGAAGTTCACAACTTTTGGCTAGAAATGTATGCTTTTGAGGTTAAAAAGAAACACAGTGACAAGAACAAATTACATGTGTCCCTTCTATCCATACATTGGGCATTAAAAAAAAATATTTTTATCTACCTACAAAGTGAAAATGAACAAAATATAATTTAAAAGAATACAACCAGTGTTATTAATCAATATGTTCTGCCAAAAGGAAGAAGAGCGTAAACAAGAGGAAGACGAACAGAAACGGAGGGAGAATGAGATGGCGTTTAAAATTTGGTTACAGAAGAAGAATGAACAGCTAATTCAAGAAAAGCGGATCCAGCAGGCAAAGGAGCTGGAGAAAGGCAGCACATCTGTGAGGAATCCAATTTAATAGTCATCTTATGGAAACCATTAGGGAAATACGAGATACCTAAATCTTGCTATTAGGCATGAGTTTCTGGTCGACCATGAGTTAGACCCAAACCCAAGCTGTTTGCAGTTTGACAAGGGGGTGAACAATTTAGCCAGTTTACCCACCCGCAGAACCTCCATCTATGTCCTAGCAATCATTAACGCTGTGTGGCCTGCAAAGGTGTCATTAGTTGCTAGGATGCAGGCGGACACACCATAACAACCAATGATGCTATTGGGCTGTCAGCATCTTAGCAACCAATGATCGGTTGCTTAGACACAGGCAGCCCTACAGCATCATTGGTTGTTATTGTGTGCCCGCCTGTGTCCTAGCAACCAATGACGCTGTGTGCCTCAGCCACTAGCGTCCTAGCAACCAATGCCGCTGTGCAGGTCACACAGTGTCATTGATTACTAGAACACAGGGGATCCCACAGTGTCATTGGTTGTTATGGTGCACCCACCTGCGACCTAGCAACCAATGATGCTGTGTGGCCCAGGCGCTAGTGTTCCCTGCAAGCAATGCTGCTGTGCATGTCACATGGCATTATTGGTTGCTAGAACACAGGCGGCCTGGGTTTGGTCCGCTTGGGTGTTTGCCAAACCTAGATTCCTTTTTTGTTTTGTTTTGTTTTTTTTGTTATATACTGTAAATATTTATACATTTTTTCAGACAATGATCCAAATTTCACACATTTTACATTGCTGACAAACAATCAACATTAAAACCTTAAAACAAAACAAGACATTCCATTAGTCCCTTCTAACCTCTATATTATACCTGTTGTTATCCATAGCCCAAGCCTTAAAAGTGTCTAGTGTTAACATTTACCTTTATTATTAACTACCCATTAAATTCAATTTCATTAGTGTTTCTGTTTCTTTACTACTTAAACCCTTCAATTTGAACATTAGCTTAGTGCTATCCATAAATCGGTGCTCTTTGTGTCAAAATATTCTATGCGCCACTAATAGTTTATCAAAGTAAGAAGTGAATTACCTTTAGTTAATCATAATATGATAATGTGTATCTTTATACAAAAATGCAGTTAATTGTGCCCAATTATATCCTTAACTCATATTTATCTAAGGATCTATAGGTAGCCTAGAAAATAGTCACCACAACAAAAAAAACTAGATTTCTGGCTGAATTTGGCGAATGTCCAAGTAAACTGAACAAGTAAAAAGGTCATCGCTACTTACTATGATTGACCAGTTTTGACAAGTAAATTATTTATCCCTTCTTGTCCCAAAATCTTAGTTCAGCTGCTGCAGACTGGGAGTAATATTCCATGACACGGACTGTTTAAAGTAAAGTATATTATCTAAGAGCATATATTTTAGTCATTATTACATTTTTTCCCCTTAAAGAGACCTGTTACCAGTTATTTCTAATCATTTATTAATAAGACTATTCAGAAATCTTGTGCCAACTTTTTTTTGTCATTTGCAGGTTTTATTCACAAGCCCCGCTCCTGCTCTCATCTTTCTCACTTAGTATCAGCCTGAGGCTTTTTGGGGAGCGTTGGTCACTACCAAACTCATGATTTGGCTCCATAGTTTCTCCACTAGCAGACTGCTCTGGAGAGAATCACTCTCTGGAGATTCCCAGAAGCTAAATCCTGTTTGGTAGTGGCCATGGCTCCCTGCAAAGCCTCAGGACAATATTGACAGTACAGAAGCTGTCAGCAGAAGCCGCTTGCCAATAGCACCTATTAAAGCTTTTCATCCGGTGGCCTGTCGGTCACCTGGAGCGGTCAGGGCTGCAGGAAAGAAAAAGAAAAAAATTCTATCGGCAAGCAGCTCAAGCACTGTCAGTTTCAGCATGGTTTACTGGAGTGTCAGATGCTTTGTTCAACTTGTTAAATATAAAGCTATAAATTAAAAAAAAAAAAAGTTAGCGCCCAATTATCTATTAGTCTTGATGTATTAATAATAGAATTCAAAATAAAAAGAGTAACTCTTGTCACTAGTATAAAAGTGAAAAATAAAGTGCCCTCTGGAAAGAAGAGAGTTCATACTTTCCCCTCCCCTGCAACATGGATCCGCACTTTGTTACAGAGACACCAGTGCTTGAGAATCTGATTGTTCTGGGTGTGTCATATTACATGTTCTCATTTGGAGCTCATTTTAAATTACCGATGCATTCTACAATAAGCCCTTTGACCTTTAGGGCACATTAAGCCCAGGCCTGCTGCATTGCAGGAAATGCACACATGTTAACATATGTAATGTTAAAGGAGAACTATGGTTCTCCTACATAGTTCACATAAGGGTCACGGGAGGACATAAACTAGCGTTCTCCCGTGACCCAGCTACAGCTCGCGGTATACTGAGACGCCGCAGCCGGGACGGATCCCGACATTGCTGTCGAGATCCACCCAGCTGCGGGATTGACAGGTGGCTCTGCCTATCCAGAGGCAGAGCCAGCTGTGCCCGCCCCCTCCTCTGTCCGTTCCGCCAGTCAGCGCTGGAGGATCGGACAGGGGAGGGGTGGAATCCCTGCAGGTAGCCGTGAGTGACAGTCACGGCTCTTTGCAGGGATAGATCAAGGAGTGAGCGAGCGACGGTATGTGTTCACTCACTTCCCAATCTACTGAGCCGACCTGTGACAGTTTCATTGTCACAGGTCGGCTAGAACAATGAGGCTGAGTGAAAATCACTCGCCTCATAGTTCTCCTTTAAGACAGTAAATTCATTTAAGAGAACTGACATAAGCAACCTTGACAGTTGGCATTTTGGGAGACATTAAATTGGTGGGTAAAGTTCCTATTTAAATACTACAATGGGCCAAAAAATCTTCATTTTTGGTAGTGTAGAGCATCACGATAGGTGCGCTAGAAAAGTGCATAGGAGGTGCTGTTCAGAATGACCTTGCAATTTTTTGAGCCCAAAAGATGCCTGAGAACATAAAAGTAAACCTGTGCCAGGTCAGCGAATCAGAAAATGTTAAGGCAATTGAGTTAGCATAACAGCCTGGCAACTAGTATCTTCAGAAGAAGGTCAGCAATGGCAGCTTCTATATTTCTCTAAGCACAGGCTTCCTGAAAGAAAGGACTTTTCATCAACATATGAATTTTAAACATATATGATATGTAATTGCTATTGATTCATGAACTCAATGTTGTTTATATTTATATTTTAAGTTGTTGTACATATGTAAAGCGCTGCGCAAACTGTTGGCGCTATATAAATCCTATATAATAATATTAATATATCGTTATTCATGCATATGTTTTGACAATAGTGCTGGCCCAGACTAAATATCTTCAGATATTCTAGTACAGGGCTGAGCAACCGGCAGCCTATAGGACCCTTTTTGTGGCCCGTGATGTCATGTATAGAGCTGACAGTCTCGGATCCTGCGGGGCATTCCTGGGATTTTGTACTCTGCCTGGCTGTGTTTGCATCCTGTGGGCTGTCTCACAGGATCCAGGAAACAAGGTGACGGCGGTTGCCAAGGGCTGGAATGCTTTCTGTAGCCTAGCACTGTAATTATACTGGCACACCCTATGGGGTGGAGTGATCTCCTGCCCAACAGGGATTATATCGTTTCAGCCCAACATGATTAGGGCGGTAGAAAGCAGCACAGTAGCATGCGTGTGTAACCACGGAACACTAGTGAGGGGGAAGGAGAAGATTTATTATTGCTGATTTTGACACCAATGAAGGGGAGGTTTATTATTCCTGCCACTTACAAAAATGAAGAGGCGTTTACTATTGCTGCCACTGACACCAATGAAGGGGAGGTTTATAATTCCTGCCACTAACACCAATGAAGGGGGGAGGGGGTTTACTATTGTTGCCATTGACACCAACGAAGGGGGTTTACTATTGCTGCCACTGACACCAACGAAGGGGGTTTACTATTGCTGCTACTGCCACCATTAAAGGAGGCTTTACGATTGCCACCACTGACACCAATGAAGGAGGCTTTTCTATTGCTGACACTAAAACCAATAAAATTAGGCTTTACTATTGCTGCCACTGACACCAATGAAAGGGAGGTTTATTGTTGCTGCCATTGACAACAGTGAAGGGGGGGTTTATTGTTGCTGCCAATGACACCAATGAAGGGGGGGTTTATTAGTGCTACCAATGACACCAATGAAGGGGGGGTTTATTAGTGCTACCAATGACACCAATGAAGGGGGGGTTTATTAGTGCTACCAATGACACCAATGAAGGGGGGGTTTATTAGTGCTACCAATGACACCAATGAAGGGGGGGTTTATTAGTGCTACCAATGAAGAGGGGTTTATTATTGCTGACACTGACACCATTGAAGAAGGGTTTATTATTGCCGACACTGCTCTGAGCTGAACACCCCATGTAGAAACCCTTTCGTGGCCATGCCTGTGGCAGCACGTCATTTCCATACATGCTTATGTAAAAGGGGGCCACTAAGAATGGAGCTTCCTTGTTATGTTCGTGTCTTTTCCTGGTTTTGTTATGATATGTATGGCCAGAGCCTGATGTTTTTGACTTGGAAATTGTTAAATAAAATGGATAATTTAGATGTGGCACTCAACTTGTCTTGTAGCTCTAAATGTGGCCATTGGACCCTTTTAAGTTAAAGACACCACTGTTCTAGTATATGCAGTCTGTGGGGGGCTGCAATCAATATTAAAATATCTCAATTTAATGTCTTGGTTTTAAAAGGATAAAGAGAAAGATGCTTCAAAAGCAGCTTTTACTGTTTGGATGAAGAGGAAACATAGAGAGCAACTTAAAGAAAAGAAGATCGAGGAACTGAGACAACAGGAGACAGTTAGTTTCCTGGAAGAAAGAAAGGACAGAGAAGGAGCGTATGCACAGTAAGTACCAAATGATACTGTATATGTGAGTCCTGATATATTCAGGTAAAAAGCGATGACAGTGTCATTACAAATGAGTTCTTACATATTATGCAGTGCTTTACAAAGTGCACAAAATTACTTATATCAGTTTTTATCCAGTCTAATGTTTCTACGCCAGTTATACACACATGCATGGGGATCAGCTTGGTCAGAACCCAGTTTAAGGCCTGGTTCACGCCTGGGCGTTTTACAGCGCATTCCTACACGCTGTAAAACGCTCAACATGTGAAAACCAATGATTGCCTATGGGCATGGTTCCCACCTGAGCGTTTTACAGCGCGTAGGAACGCGCTGCAAAACGCCCTACGCCCAAAGAAGTACAGGAGCTTCTTTGGGGCGTTTTGCCGCGTGTTTCCATTGGTATTCCCGAGTTTGGATCGGGGTTAACAAAGCGGTAACCCCGAGCCACACTCGGGAATACAGCGTACAGGTCTTACCTTGGCCACGCTCCCCGCTGTGTCTTCGGCGGCTGCCGCCTTCCGGGTCCCGACCCTCGTGAGAGGCCGCATCGGAGGGGGGCGGAGCCAGCGGGAAGTTTAAAAGTGAAACAAAAAATATATATATTTTTTTTAAATAGAGAAAATAAAGGAAAAAAAAAATTAAAAAATCATACCGCCAGTGAAACTCGTGTTTCACTGAACGAAAAAACGCAAAAAAAAACAGGCATTAAAAAAACGCTCATGTGTGAACCCAGCCTAACTACTAGTGCAGTTATGAGCAACTAGTGAGCACCTGGAGGTCAAATTCACTCTAAAAAATAACATACACACATGTTGCAGTCTTAGGCTGGGCACACACCTTACAACCCTCGCAAGACTTTTGTCTTGCGAGGGTTGTAAGGTAATTAAAAAAAAACTTACAATCTGCCCATCTTGGACAGGCAGATCGTACCTGCGATGTACGATCTGCTTCCGATGACCGCAATGCCGAACGGGCAGTGTGCGCTGGCGCACACCGGCCCGTCCCGCTTTTATCTTACGAACATGCTACACACCCGCCGAACATCGTACGATTCTCGGCGGGTTTTCGAACATGTTCGTAAGATACAAGACGTGCGACCGTACAGTAACAGAGGTCGCATGGCTTCCACACACCTTGCGATAATCGTCCGATCGCGGGATTTCCCGCGATTATCGTACGGTTATCGCAAGGTGTGTGGGCACCTTAACCGGGTTATTTACAAAAGAGTGAAGAGTTTGGAGAAGGCAGGAGAAGTGAACAATCTAGGACAACATAGCTGACCTGGAAAAATTATCGTCACTTTTCAGTTCAGCTATGTTGTCCTAGATTGGTCACTCCTCCTGCCTTCTCCAAACTCTTCACCCTTTTGTGACTAACCCTGTTAGACTGCAACATGTGTGTATGTTCTTTTTTAGAGTGAATGTTAATGTATAATGTATAGCGCTTTTTCTACTGCTAAAAAACGCCTAAGTGTGAACCAGGCCTAAGCATGATCTCTATAATAATAGATTGTAAAGATATAATAATATCCATGATCTATATAAATAAGACCATTACACCAGTATAATGATGTTGATTGATGTAATCTTTTTTTTTGCAGATGGTTAAAACAGAAGAGAGTACAGAAACGTGTTGAACAACAAACTGCTACAGAAAGATCGAGAAGACTTTTGCTAGAAGCCAGAAGAAGCAAACAGATACATAATTTGCTGTACAATATCTCTGAGTCCAGATCGTTCCGTTACATTGATCCCTACAGCTAAAAAGTACATTGTGTTTTAGTATCCAGCACTGGTACATATTTATGTCCATTCATATATGTGCTGCCACTAAATGAATTACAAACAATAGCTATATTTGTATTTGGTTTCTTTAGGATATATATTTTTATGAGTCTGAATAGATTATTATCAATTTGTTTGATTAGTAAATTGTTACACTATAAAATTAGGACAATGGCAGCAAGAACCTACGGACACCAGGTATACCCCCGTTCAGATACGGCCGCTATACACATTGAAGTAAATTATAGGGTGACAGTGGCATCTATAAGCGTCAGTCCGCATGTAATGGTACATGGATTCAGGGACAATCATCTATCCCAAACCACATGTAATCATACCATGTACAATTACATGCAGGCTGTTGTCACAAAGTCATTACCGTCAATGGGTACAGCGGCTGCATCAGAATTGGACACAGTGGCGGAACTACTAGGGTCACAGAGGTCACAGCTGCGACCGGGCCCTGGAGTTCCGCCACTTGGAGGAGGCCTAGGACAGGAGGAAGGGGCCCCTGGTAACCGCTCATTATCAGGATATTTAATATCCCGGTAACCGCTAATGTCAGTACCGGGACCTCCTCCTCCTGTCCTAGGCCCTACGTGCTTCACGCTGCTCCCCTCACCTTGTTCCGGGCGCAGCGTGAAGTATGATCCAGCCGGCGCAGCAGCCAATGAGTGGGAAGCGGGTTATCCCCGCCCCCTCATTACACAGAATGCTGCATCGGTAAGAGAGGCCTGCTGGGAGCTGGGAATTTGAAGGGGACATGGAAGAGGAAAGTGTGGGGTCCGGGAGCGGAAAGCTGGGGACGTGAAGGGGGAGATGAGGGGAAGCTGGGGACATAGGAGAGTGTGGGGTCCGGGAGCGGAAAGCTGGGGATATGAAGGGGGAGAGTGTAGGGTCCGGGAGCAGAAAGCTGGGGATATGAAGGGGGAGATAATGGGGAGCTGGGGACATGAAAGAGGAGAGTGTAGGGTCCAGGAGCAGAAAGCTGGGGATATGAAGGAGGAGATGAGGGGAAGCTGGGGACATGGAAGAGGAGAGTGTGGGGTCCGGGAGCGGAAAGCTGGGGACGTGAAGGGGGAGATAATGGGGAGCTGGAGACATGGAAGAGGAGAGTGTGGGGTCCGGGAGCAGAAAGCTGGGGATATGAAGGGGGAGATAATGGGGCGCTGGAGACATGGAAGAGGAGAATGTGTTTTTTTTTGTCTAAATTTTTTTTATTTCTTTTTTTATAAATATCTAATTTTTCTTTTTTTTTGGGGGGGCCCTTCAAGGATTCTTGCATCGGGCCCTGAGGTCACTAATTATGCCTCTGATGGGACACCTGGGATTCCTGCCGCAGGAATCTGTAGGTTTTTGCCACAAGAATCAAAGACCGCCCCATGTGAATGGGGCCTTAGGGTGGCAAAATACACCATTTTAGTCCCTGCATTTAGGAGGACACTTGGCAGGCATTGGAAATATGACCACTTTTGGCATCTGTGTGAACAGTGAACCTATGTTTTCCCTAAAAAAAAACCTTCAGGGCTACTCACTGTCCCTCTCCTCTATTCAACCGATAGGTGCAAAGAGAGGAAACCCTATGTAAGTTGCAAGTCATGGTCAGTTTCTTGAAATCTTTTCAAGAGCAATTGTACATTTAAGTCAGTACTAAAAATGAAGCTTTGAGATGCATACACTGAGCACAGTCTACCTGCTCAGTATTTTCATTTCCCATCTCAGCATTGCTTCATTATACCGGTCTACTCTAGTTCCTTTTGGTGATTAGAGATCCCCTGCTTGTGTTGCAGGATAGATGTTCCCAAACATGACTATTGCAGATTCTTTGCCATCTTTTACATGCGTAATGCTTGATTAAAGCATATGAAAACATCAAAACGTTTTTCACATCCAACTTTTATGTGCAGTGGACGTGACTGGAGGAACAAGAGGAAGATCCACAGCACAGACTACGAAAATACAATTAGATTGACCCTGTCTGAATTCTGGTTACATTAGATGAGTGTTAATGTCATGCTGCTTTGCATTCTATAACCTTGTGTTGGCGGTCACTTCATTTTCAACACACTATAATCAATGTGCTGGAAATGAGATGATGGCAAACAATCGGTTACGTTACTCAATAACATGAGATTACAATCATCGGTGCGGTTTAGCCCTTTGATTTCCTGTCTGGTCAGTTCTGATGACACGTTGCTAATGTTACTTACTAATCTGCAACACTTACAATAAGTATGGGATTGCTATTGTAAATTGTGAATATAGCAGAGGGAAATGTTATTTCCAGCATTGCTAAATGAAGAACAAAGTACAGGAACAACACAGGAAAAAACCCTGATCATAAATGACGTCATTTCTGTTCTAATGGACTGCAATGTAAACAACACAAGAGCAGAGCGTTGCGCCGAGGCCCAGCGGGATATAGAAAAGTGATGAAAAGACTATTGCTTGACAGCCAACATCGATGGAGCCGATAAACAATCACAATTTACATGGAAGTCAAATAAATTCAACTGCCCACAATTCTACTAAGGCAGAATCGAAAGGCAAGAGAGTCAACATTATTGTGGGAGGAAGATACTGTAACAGTGAAGATGACTAATATACTCCAGTGGCTGAACTCTTAAAGGGTAAGGAACGGATGGGGAACGTACGGGGAGGGGCTGGGCACAGCTGGCTCTGCCTCTGGATAGGCAGAGCCAGCTGTCACTCTCACAGCTGGGTGGATCTCGACAGTAATGTCAGGATCCGTTCCGGCTGCGGCGTCTCAGTATAGCGCGAGATACTGAGCTTTGGGTGACGGGAGGACGCTAGTTTGTGTTCTCCCGTGACCCTTGGGAGAACTATGGGGTGAAGCCCTGACCCCATAGTTCTCCTTTAAGGTAAAAGACGCCCTGCTACCTTTCCATGCCCTACCACCCACCGCCCCTGATCGTCCCATAAACCGCCGCCGGCTCCCGAACGATCTGCTCTGTTTCCCCAAAGTTCCGGGTTGAGAGGAGGGATCCCAAGGCCACTGAGGGCAGGGCAGTGATAGGCTGTGAAAGGACTTTGAGGAGGTGGGAGTAGGGGCATGGCGTGTTGAACGCTGTGTGTGTCAGTAGATGCACACAGCTGGTCTCAGTTCCTGGCCGGAAGCACGCATGGCTGTCTCCTTTGCAACCCGTAAACAGGAGGGGAGGGACAGCAGTATGACAGTTGCTGGAAATAAATTAAATGGTGTAAATAAAAAAAAAAAAAAAAAGCTCATTAAATAAATTGCCATATACAGTGCTGATTTAAATAAAAAAAAACAACAAGGCTTTAATGTCACTTCAAGCTCACCAGCACATGTTACAATCTGATTGTACAATCTCCTTTAGATCTACCAACAACTATGTAGTGCAAGGACCTGCCTGACTGCATATAAATTGATTGGATACATCAGGTAGGTCTCCATATTCCATAGTTTTGGTAAATGCAAAATAGATTGTACAAAGATGGTAAGGTCAGATTGTAATGTGTATGGTGACCCTTGTGGGGCTCATGTGTAAACCTTTCACCCAGCGTATAGATAGGCAAATGCCATTTGCAGCTCCATCTAGTGGCAGTAATGTCGTGTAAACAGCTTTGCCTAGCTATATGCTGGGTGGAAGTTTTATACATCAGCCCCTTAAAGTGTATTTCCACCAGCTAAATTTGAGAACCCGCCCACTATATGTTTGTCACGTGTCCCCATTGGCAGAGCATACCGTAACAAATCTATTTCTTACCTTTCTAGTTGTTTCTTTGCTGCAGCTTTTTTTTTTTTCAGTCTACGTGATGAACAATACACTATAGGAACATTGTAGCTGGCCATACGCTGCTCAAATGTCATGTGATTCTGCTACAGTGGCCTACATTGAAGCTGTGGGGGCCCTGTGAGCACCACCTGCTTTGATAAAAATCAGTTTTTCAATAGACTTTTGTCAAAAGAGCCAAGTAGAAACTAGTCAGCCGAACAGTGAGTGCAGCCAGTCAGATGCCGTCGCTATTCAGGTAATCAGCAGCTGCGGGTCCAGACGGGGGCTGAATACGATGGCCGACAGGGAAAATTCCTTCATCCACGCTGTTTAGTGTAGATGGGGGAGTCGATTGATTTCTCAAAACACATCTAAAAGGTGTATTGTTAGCTTTGGGAACATAAAGTGCATTACCATACAGAGTAACAACCTGAATTTGATATCTTGAACCCTTTGGCAGGGCAGACAGTGTGCACATCATCTTCATCCAGGCTTACGCATACAGTGGAATTCCAACCATTTTTTAGAAAAGGGAGGGTCTAGAACAGGGGTAGGCAACTTCGGCACTCCTGCTGTTGTGGAACTATAAGACCTCGTTCACACCAGATGCAGTGCATTCCAGCCCGATTCAGGCCAGAACGCACTGCCTCACATGACGGTCGGCTCACTTTTTTGTGGGGCAGGAGAGGGCGTGGCGGTCCATTGAAGTCAATGGCACCGTAGCCACGCCCTCCGGCCACAATGCGATTGGCTGCACGGGATCGCAAGGCACATTATACCGGTCCGGTCAAAATGCTGCAAGCACTATTTTGTTCGGACTGGAGCACAGGCAAAATGTGCCTTGCGATCCCATGCGGCTGAACGCATTGCGGGTAGAGGGCGTGGCTACGGTCCCATTCACTTAAATGGACCACTATGCCCCTTCCTGCCCCACAACATAGTGAGCCGGCCGCAATGTGATGCAGTGCTTTCTGGACAGAATTGGGCCGGAACGCACTGCATCTGGTGTGAACGAGGCCTAAGCCTCATGACGCATTACAAGACTGAGAGCCACAGGCGAGACTGCCAGAGGTAAAGGCATAATTGGGTTTGTAGTTTCACAAACAGCTGGAGTGCCAGGGTTGCCTACCCCTGGTCTAGAAACTCTTTTATTTTTATAGTTGTGTGTGTCCCCTTGGAGAGATTTCCCCTCACTTCCTGTTCCGAAGACATAGCAGGATGTTAAAAAAAATCTCTAAAGATAGAAGAAATCCCACCTTTGACAG